GTGTGTGTGTGTGTGTGTGTGTGTGTGTGTGTGTGTGTGTGTGTGTGTGTGTGTATCACTCTAAATAAAGTATAAAAAACTTTCAACACACTTTGCAACATATTTTTTATCTACATTGACTTGCTTTAAAAAATTGTCAAAAATCTATTTTACAGATTTGCTTGAATGTATTTACAGACTTGCAATGACGCCATTTTGCACAGTTTGTTTACTTTCTGATTCAACTGCTTGACGTTTGAACTGAGTTTAGTGGATGTAAACATTTAGCCAAGGCTCTTCGGTTTATATTGATACCAAACATGTCCATGTTCAACTGACAAATCTTAAGTTATCAGAGGTTAATAGAAATAGAAAACGGGAAAAGCTGTTTTGGAGCTCGAGAGGTTAATTTGAGAAGATTCAAACTCAAATTAAGTGAAATAACATATAGAGGAGTTTACAACTATACAGCTGCGCAGAAACATTTTATTTACAAAAAAATCATTCAAACTTACTGATATTAAGCTAATGTTTTATCTGGTAGTAGCTGAGAGTTCTGCTCAACACATGCTCCAAACACTAACTCATAACGCGTCTTAAGCTCTGTCATTTTTCACCATTAGACAATCTTAGTTTAACACTGATATGAAATGCTGTGAGTGATATGCTGTATTTTATTAAATGTGACTGAGTATAGAGTAACCTCTAACCTTGCTGAGCTTGTTGAGGAGACATTCAGCACCAGTATTGTTGGGATTCAAGGCTTCGGTGTCTTGGGTGGAGATGACAGGCTCTTTGAGCTGCTCCAGCCAGGCCCACATGATCCCAGTGAGGATGAAGGGATCTCGTTCTGTACACAGATGTTCCCATGCGCTGCCTTGATTCAACTCTGTCTGCACACACAGTTATTACATGCTGAGGCCAGTTAAAGTGGACATAACGTGCTTTTAATTTCACATTTAAATCATTCAGTTGGGGTCTATAGAAAGTGGAACTGCTGTGCTTTGGTCTGAGTTCCTTTTTATTGCAACTCCACAAGCCCCTTTTCTGAGGTGTCTCTCAGATCAACTCGTTTTGAGGCTGTATCTTTAAATCCAAATGAGGTGCTTCACACCCCGCCCCCCTCCAGCTTCCTGATTGGTCCATTCTAGCACCAGGAGAGACTCCAAGTAAACAACAAAGCGTATTTAGCCATAAAAAAAAGGATTTTACATATGTTCCCTGTGATGCAGATGTGTTTTTGTCTTTTATAAAAATACTACACATTATTTTTACAGGTTAATTACCTGCCAGGCCAACACCTTGTTTTTATGCTCCTCTTGCCCATCAAGAAACAAGTCCACTGCCAGCGCCTGCGCCACCAACAGCCTCCTGGCTTCCAGAGACAGCTCCGACTGCAAGGTGATGCAGGGCACCTCCGACTGCTCCTCTTCTTTAGCTCGTGACGTTACCCCGTTTCTTTCCAGCTTCTCCGCCTGTGCTGCCTTCCATCGGGACAACATGTTTCCCTTTTTGTCCGATTGATCGTGTCCCACCGACTCGCTCCGTTGGACTGTCTTCCTCTTCATCTTCTTCAGCACAATCGTTCCGTCTTGTTGGCTTTGCACATTCTTGATTTGCCAGAGAGTCCCCGTTGAGCCGTGTGAAACATTGGATGTGTCGCCGATCTGACCCAGACTCTGGGCCGCAGGGAGATTGGCCTCAGAGTTGGATGAAGAGCTCAGAGGTTGTGTGAGGAGGTTTAGCTGTGAGCCGAGCCGTCTCAAGTCGGACTCGCTGTAGCTCAGACTCTTGCGGTGGTAGAAGATGGGCGGCTCGTGGAAATGTCTGGGTAAGGTGGGTGAACCTGGCAAACGAGGCTCCTTGGTGAATATTTCAGGCCCCATCTTCTCAATTATACTGAGAGTCATCTCTATGTCGTGAATATCAGGGGCTTCAAGAACATCTTCCTCAATCACTTCACGGTTCTCTGCTATGTCCACCAACAGCCTGCAGACTAGATGGATGATCTTGGGCAGGTGCCTTAGCTCCTTCCTCTCGGAGCCGTGCAGGATGTGTCTCTGACGGTTAAGGTACTGGGACAGGGTGACTGGGTTGGATTGAGGATGAGCGCAAGAAAAAACACTTCTAAGTGGGCTGAGGAACTGAACAAAGTCTCTCACGGAGCGCAGCTGACCTCGGGTTTGGATGGAGTTGGGCCGTTTGGCACGTATAAATAAAATAGCCTGGTTGGCGGTCATTCTGGTGGCGTAGGCCAAGAAACATGCCAACAGTACGCCTAGAGTCAGAAGAGGGGGGAAAATTTATCATTAATGAGTGCAGATAGAAAATCAAGAGCTTTTAGAGTAGGGGCTGGGAAGAGAGCTATTAATATTTAAGGATTCCGTTTTACAGAGCTGTAGTTTAATTCTGACTGGCAAACTAAGCTAGTCTAAGAGGAGCAAAGACCAAAGTGCTGCACCCGCTTTGGATGTTATCATCCATTAAATGGACATTATTAGCCATTATCAGTCCCATAGAATGGCTTCAGACTGTCCCGACTGTGCTGCCTAGTGGGTTCTCCATCCCATAGACTGGCTTCAGACTGTCAGCTGGTTAGTATGAGGCATAAAGCCACTAAGGTTTTTTTATGCAATCTCATCAATATGAGGCATAAAACCACTAAGGTTAATTTTAGAGAATATGACATGGGCTACGATAAAGTAGACCGGACTCCGGTGGTAGCAGATTGTTGCATTCCAACGTATATGGCACTGGTAACCTGCTAGGGGGCACAACCGGGACAGTCAGAAGCCATTCTATGGGACCAATAACCACTTATGATATCCATTTAATGGATTGACAACATCCGAACCGGCTGAGTGGGTTGCTGCTCGAAAATACCTTTTCGAAATTTCATTGTGGCTTATGCAAAACACATTTTATAATCTATTACACCACCATCAATTTTGCATTGGACATTTATTCAAGTAGAAATATAATATTTCTGAAGAAAATGCCCTAAGCTGCAGTACAAGTTAGATGTTTCAGCTACTAAAAAGAAAAATAATAAAATAAACCACAGAAATCCATGTAAATAAATGTTTAAAGTGAAATTGGCACCAAAGTAAAAGTTCATAAAAAGTGTAAATTTGTGTAAAATTTTTGGAGAATAGAGTTGTTTTAAGACAGCAATCAAAAAATAAAAAATTGTATCTTCTGGACGGGTTCTTCTCTAATGAAACGTTTCATCTCTCCTCCAAGAGACTTCTTCAGTCTGAGAGTTTCAGGCAAAATTCAGGCTTTTAAGCCCTGCCTCCATGTGACTGATACTCACATCACATGGCTATCGTTGACACCTAATTAACACTTATTGTTAACAGGGGGTGGAGTGATACTGGCAATAGCCGCGCTGTAGGAGGGGGACAACTGAAAACGGAGGCCTCCACCTCTGTTTAATGATGGACGGTCTTTCTTCACAAAAATGGCTTCTTTTACTCCTCTCTCAAACCAACATTCCTCTCTATCAAGAATGAGAACATCCTCATCTCTGAAAGAGTGACCGCTGGCCTGTAAATGAGTGAAAACTGCAGAGTTCTGGCCATTAGATGTAGCTCGTCTGTGTTGGGACATTCTTTTGAACAGTGGCTGCTTTGTTTCCCCGATGTATAACTGGTCGCAGTCCTCCTGGCACTTAACAGCATATACAACATTGCTCTGTTTGTGCCGGGGCACCGGATCTTTGGGGTGAACCAGCCTTTGCCGTAATGTGTTTTGGGGTTTGAAAGCCACTGGGACATCATGTTTAGAAAATAAACGTCTCAGTTTCTCCGAAACACCCGCAACATACGGAATAACCACTGGTTTGGGTCTGGGTTTGGGGTCTTCATTTTCACCTGAAGGTTGCATGGAATCCTGTCTGTGTTTCCTGTCTGCTTTCAGGAAAGCCCAGTCAGGATAACCACACTGCTCCAGGGCCTGTCGTGTGTGTGATTTCTCTTTCTGCCTGGCTCCTGGGTTTGTAGGGACACTGTCTGCTCTGTGGTACAGAGTCCTGATCACTCCTAACTTGTGTTCCAGTGGGTGGTGGGAGTCGAAACGCAAATATTGGTCTGTGTGGGTGGGCTTACGATACACGCCAGTTTCCAACCGTCTTCCATCCGAAACCAAGACATCGCAATCCAGGAACACCAACCTGCCATTTTTTACATCCTCTCGTGTGAACTTAATATATTCATCCACAGAGTTGATGTGATCAGTGAAATGTTGGACAGCAATGCTTTGGTCTTGTGTCCTGTACCCGTCCTAAACATCTGTACCAAACAATCTCTGTACAAATACATGTACTGTTACACTCCTATCATCTACCACAGATTAGATGTTAATTAATCACAACCTTCCACAGAACCCCACTTTAAAAGATTGTAATAGTATCTTCATTAGTCAAAAAGAATTATTACATAATTTGAAAATCAACCTGTTCGCCCGAGCCCTGCGTGGCAGTGGACCGCCACCTTTCCTTCCTGCAGAGCAAAGGCCATCACCTTCACCATGTCCAGCACTCTGGTGAGGTTGGCCACGCCGTAGTCACTCCAGCCAAAATTGTAAAAATAAACTAAAATTGAAACACACTTTTAGCAACATTTATTAAAAAAATTAATAAATTACCATGAATATTCTGAAAAGTACATACTACTGTTTTTCATGAAGACTTCTGGGTGGTATGAAAACCCACTCTCTGGCTCCAGAGGTTTTCCACAGAATGCATGCTCTCCAGGTACTTGTAGGTTGATCACTGTTTTAATACCGTTCCTACCAACAGAACACAGAACACGTCTTTCATGTTTTCTCTATTTTCCTTAAAAGCTTCTGGAAGCTGATGAACTTAAAATCAGATATAAATACCTTTTGAACTGGTTAATAATGTCATACTTTTCAATAATTTCTGTTGAAGGTCTGGACATGGCAAGAAGATGGTCAGTAACCCTGAAACAGCAGAACAAAAAAAAACTTATTTCTTTTAGTTTGGCTGACATATTTGTTAAAACTGATTAAATCAAAAGAGGAAGATGTACCAGGATGAATACAGGCCTTTTATTGCCTGTTGATCTTCACTCCAGTAACATGGATTGTCAAACTTGCAGGCTTCCCCTCCACATCCGTATGAGCACTGCATGTGTGCAGGAAAGATGTTTCGTACAGCTTCTCCTATTATTGTGTATTTTGCTCTGGGGGCTTTGACTGCATTATAGGATGGGGATAAAAAATATTTTGACATAAACAGATTAAACCCAATGTAAATAGGCAATTAACATTTTTATCTGAATTTTCTCATGAAAAAAAGTTTGTAGATGAAAGATTGTAATTTTAGGACAGCTTTTGGGCCAGACCGAGAATTTAAAAAATGAAAATAAAGTCGTAATATTACAAGAATAAAGTAAAAAATCTTTGAGAATAAACTCACAATAGTACAAGAATTAAGTCATAATATTATGAGAATAAAGTCGGAAAAGAATAAAGTTATATTACGCTGATATAAGTTGTACAAGAATAAAGTCATAATATTATGAGAATAAAGACATAATAGTGCAAGAATGAAGTCATGATATAACAAGAATAAAGTCAAAATAATATGAGCATAAATGCATAATAAAACAAGAATAAAGTAAAAAATACAAGAATAAAGTCATAACATTTTGAGAATAAAGATAATAGAACAAGAATGAAGTCACAATATAAAAAGATTAAAGTCAAACTAATACAAGAATAAATTCATATTATGAGATTAAAGTCATAAAATTATGAGAATGTTTAGCATCTTGTGAAGTTTTACATTGATATCAGTTTTTCAAATAAGGAAATCCTTAATATTTTAACACATCAGCATCGAATTATCAGTAGCAGGACTTTGAAATGATTGTGCAAACAACTGTGTCCATCAAAGACATCCTTCTTCTCCTAAACTGTAGTTCAAATCTATGCTGGCTCCATCAAATAGGTTGTGCTGTAACATCTGACAGTTAAGATAATCAGCGGTCAGGGCTCACTTAGGCGTGTCTAATCCTTGCCTGGAACTGCGTGTCCATCATTAGAGCATTATGGTAAAAATAGCTAATTCTCTATGGTTGAAATGCATTTTAAAAAAAGAATATTTTGGTGCTGTAAAAACAAAAAGATCTGATTTCTGACAGTAAAAGGTAAATTTGGTAAAATTATCTTTACTTACTGTATTCTATGAAAGATCCCCCTCTTGTCTTTTCATGGAAAGCCATGTGAAGCTCCTCTCAGGCTGACAGTCATAGCAGAGCCTGGGAAAATAAATTACCTTGTTATTGTAGTTAGAATGTATTACACATTCTACGTACTAGTACTATGTTATTATTTTACATAGTGAAAGTATTAGTTTGAGACTAACTGGGAAAAAAATGTTTGGATGAAAAACCTTTAACTCACTAGTCAAAGCTAAAACAATACATTTCAAAGAATTACCAGACTAGTATTTGTGGAAGGTACTTTTACTTTTATGCCATAAAGCAGTGCACAAGTTACCTTTACTCTTCAAACAAACAAGCAAATCACAACTAATCTAACAACAAAAATAACTAAACGAATTCAACCAAAAGGTTTGACTTGCCTTTAGATGTTGAGATGAGATGCTCGTGTCCTGCACCTCGGAGACTAAATGATTTACAGCTGCAGTTACTGGCATTCCTGACGTCAGTCTCCAGAGCTCTGACGTTGTCTCTTCCTCTCGAGCTCTGTGAGAAGTGGCCTAGCTTGTGGGTGTCAGATTATCTCTGTGATGTGAAGCAGGGCAGCACGTGGAAACCGTGGATTCAGAGTGCCCCTCTGAAAGAGACCGTGACCGATCAATCGTTGAATCTGATCGAAAGCAACAAAGTAGTGATTTTGTTCTTTGAGACGAGCTCTATGTTCCATTTGTCTCTCAGCAGCTCTGAGACTGAGTTTATGTCTGACTCCTCCCCAGATTAGACCACTAATCTTATTATGAACAAATCAAATATTGAGCTCCTACTCTTTGAGAAAAACTTATACGATTGCCACATTAATGTCTTCCTTACATGCTACATAGTTTGTTAAATTATCATCACTTCTCACCTGACCAGCAGTCATTTAACCAGATTCTTCATAATGACACAAATCATTGACATATATATGCAGATATTTTGTTCAGAATGTGACCATAATGAGTTATGAAATGTTTTGATATCCGCACTGTAAAGGCTAACTGTTCATTGTGTTATAGTGCTGTAGCAAGGGGATGAAATCTCATTAGTTTACGGTACACCTCAGTAAAGCTGGTTGACTTCAGGTGAACCGAGCAGAGATCATTTCATCACGTAAAGCCTTTAGAGAGCCAGTAATCCTAATGCAAATCTGAAAGGCTGCTGTCCAACTTGTAGTATACAGAAAAATACATATTTATTTTTCTATTTAATTTCTACTATTGAATCTAATTTTACAAAACTAGATTAGGTTTAGATCTTAGATGTTTTTTTTAATTAGCATCTGTTTACTATTTCTATTTTAGTTTAAAGTAATCTAATTCAGTCCAATTCGTTCAAACTTTATTTGATTATAAATTAGTCCAAATCTATCAGATTCAGACTTAAATACAGTCCAATTAAATCCAAACACCATCCATTCAATAGGCTATAATGAAACTGTAAATTATAAATGCTAATTACTGATGTTTTTTTCTTCAATTTAGTCCTCCATCCTGTGCAAGCAGCAGGTGACAGTGGAGAGAAAAAACACATCGTCTCAAACTGAGAGGTGACAGATCCTTTTCTGGAGCAGGTCCAAAACTCTGGATTGATCTATCGCTACAGGTCAGTCTCCTTCACTCTCTGTCTTCAAGTCTCATTTAAAAACACACTACTGTTCCCTTGCCTTTGAGTCTGAGTGAGATGGTGCAAAACCTCACCGTGTCTCATAACTCTGTTCCATGTGTACTATAAATACATAAATATAAATGCCCCGTATTTTTGATTTGTATTTTAACTGTATTTTAACTGTAATTATATGTCCTGTTGTGTCTGTCTACTGTACAGCACTTTGGTTGGCCTTGTGCTGTTTAAAGTGCTTTATAAATAAAAGTGGTATGGTATGGTATGGTATGGTATTGTATAGTATGGTATGGTATGGTATGGTATGGTATTGTATAGTATGGTATGGTATGGTATGGTATGGTAT